ACGGCACGGGCTCGCGAGCGTGCCTGTGCCGGGCCATCTGGGCGATCGGGCCTGCCATGTCTGCAAGGCAAAGCACACGAGAGACGAGGCTCGCCCCGGCCGCGGCGCAGAAGGGGTCCCGGTCCGTACCGTGACAGCCCCGGCAGGCCCGGCGTGAGGCTCACCTCGGGGCAGGCTCACTCGGTGCGTGCTGGCCACGGCCTCCCAGTGCGCGAACAGCCGTGCCTCCCCCTCCGCGTCGTCCTCGTTGTCGCTGCCGTCCCCGTCGGGCTCCTCGCCCAGCCGCTCCAGATCCTCCAGCGTGATCCGCGCCATCGCGTCCGCCGGGAACCGGCCGGGGACCGCCCCGGGGCGGCGCCGCGCGGCCCGGCGCGGAGAGAGCGCCCCCTGGCGCCCCGGCGGACCGTGTCCCGCCGTCCCCCCGGCAGCCGGCGCCCGCCCCGCCCCGCCCCGCCCGCCCCGTCCCCCTCAGGCCGAGCCGCGGTCGCTTCTAGGGTCGGTTTTATTTAATAAAATAAAGTACAGCGATCATCCGGCGGGGAACCGGCGTGCCGGGGGCATGGGGCACTCCCGCCGCTGCCCCGGCCTGGGGGATAGCCCCCCATCCCCGGGCTGGCGATTCTACCTGGTGAGCGTGTGTGTGACCGGTACCGAGCATGCGGCCACCAGGGCTGCGGCCCCGGTGAGCAGCAGAGGAGCATGCGGGCGGGCTGCGGTGCCCGAACTAGCTAGGGACCCCCGGGGGAGGCCGGGCTGGGCAGGCAGACGGTGGCACGAGAACCGGTGGTGGGGAGAACATTGTAGGTGGTGTGGGGAGGTGCCGGGCGCTGCCCCGTGCAGCGCGAAGCCAGGGTGCCCAGCGGCGAGCAGCCAGCTCAGTTGGAGGACAGCAGGGAGCTGTGGGAGGACAGGTCCATGCTGCTGGCGCTCAGGCCTCTGCTCTCCGCACGGAAGCCCTGGGTGCCCTGGAAAAAACACAGTGCCCATGAGGTACCTGCAATGCACCCCCATGCCCCAAAGCTGCCACCCCAACTCCTGCAGCCCTTGCCTTGCAAGCCAGGACGGCCCTGGTGCTGCTGTCACACACAGCAGCTGCTGCCTGTGCTCCCAGCCTATGGCTGAGCTTTGTGGGGAGGAAGGTGGGTCCTTGGAAGCAACACCTTCAGAGCTGGAGCTCTGACCTCAGACAAGGGGCTACAAGCTCAGGGATACTAGGCACAGCACCTGGGGCTCACTAACATGCCCCTCACCCCCTGTGCTGCTGGCCATACAGCCCCCAGCCTCACGGGCAGCCCTGCACCAGCCCCACCACTTACACTGTGCTTACCTCAAACGAAGCATCACTAGACTTGTGCAGGTAATTTAAGGATGCAGCTCGTTTCATGCTGTAAGAAAGCAGAGGAGAGCAGATGTGATTGTGCTGTGAGCAGTCAGACCCAGACACACAAGGTGGCAGGGCCCTGGACACAGCCTGACCCTCGCACGCACCTGGTGTTCCTGGGCTCCAGGGGACCATTGCCCTGCAGTTTCTTGACCAACATCTCACTGCTCCTCCGTATCACATCCCGGATTTTTCCCAGGGAGCTGCTGCGCTGGAGAGTGCCACTGCCATCCTGGACACAGAGACACAAGCCAGGGTGATGGCTGAGTGGCACTGATCAGGCTGTGGCATGATGCTGATGAGTGGCTGGAACTGGCTCCAAGCATCCTCTTGCCCACTTGCTCTGAGGGTTTAGCCCTGGCCCAAATCACTGCTCACTACATGGCTTCCCTCAGCCGGCTCTCCACAGGACATGGTAACCATGGAGTCAGCTGCTATTGTCTGCCTCATCCAGCCTGATACTCCCTCCTGCCCAGGGCAAGCTCAACACCCACACAGGCTGCTGGCTTGCCCCCAGCACAAATGGCACTGGCATCTGCACAGTCCTGCTCAAAGATGACACAGCTCCATCACCTGCAACAGCTCAGGAAGCAACTACCAAGGAGGTCCCAGTGGCCAAAGAGGCAACAAGCCCTGTTGGGAGTCCCAAGATTAGGGATACTTTTGTCAGGCCAGGACACGCTGCTGGGGCTTTCATTTCATTTCAAGGACTCTCTCCTCATTTGCTGCTGGCTGGAGACCATCCTCATCCTCTCCCTCCCCTTGCCCTTCTTCACCACACCATCACCATTCCTCCTCTCTGTCCAGCACTCATACAGATGCACACCTGGTCCTGCAGGCTCACTCACATCACACAAGACCATTTCACACTGCACACACAGCCTTGTCCCATCCCTAACACCTCGAAGACCATGAGCTTTGAGCCTTTGGAGCAATTCAGGCAGCTCCACTGGGGATGGATTCATTTGGCTGCACCAGCACCGTGCTGCCAAGCAGGCACCACCACTCCTAGGCCCCCCAGCTTTAGCTGCATGCAGCCCCACTAGCTGCCCCAGGGGGTGGCACTTTGCAGAGGGCATTTTGTGTCTATCTGCTTTTTCTGAAGACCAAAACCAGCCTGAAATCTTGTTCCCGAGCCTGCTTCCTCCCACATGCTTCCAAAAGTCCCCAGTACTCAGTGAGGCACTCTCAGGCCTTGACAGGCTCCAGTCCACCTCCTGCACTTTGCTCCACATGCATCCACAGGCTGCCAGCATGGCACCACACCATGGATGTGACATGGATGCCACCATGTCATCATGCCACCAAGCTCTTCCCCTGTGGCCTGGCCTGCTTGTTACATAAGGGTGTGACACCACTGCTGATGTGGAATTACTTTTGCTCTGATGGCTGGATAACAGCAGTCTTCCCTGCTCCTGCTGTGAATGGCCCCTGGAACACTGGGGCAGGAGAAAAGGAGGTGAAGTGATGGCAAAAGCCCTTTTGCTCCTTAGGAAGATGTGAGGGAGCCCCTTTGAAGCATTCCAAATGACCCAAATGCCTTGTGGCTCAGGCTAGCAGCAGCAATTACACTGTCCAAGCAGCTCTGCAGGTAGGCAGGGTCTCTGCCTTAGGCCAGTCACCCCCTTGTGCTGACCATTACAGACTGTGGCCCTTGGGGAAGGCTTTTCCAGCCCTCCTCTGCTCTGATTACCAAAGACTGACCAGGACTTTTCCTACCAGCAAGCCTTTTTCTCCTGGTATTCCTCTCATTCCTTCTTGGATAAAACAAATGCATTGAACCTCTTCACATTCTCATTGGGCTGAGGGTTTTCCAAGTTGAGAGCCATGTGCTGCTGCTGCAAAGGGACCCAGTCACCAGAAATGCAGAGAGCACCCAAAGCAGCAAAGTAAACAATTCAATTCCTGCACGAGGCATCCCAGGCAGGTTTTGGATGAGCTGAATATCAGTGTGCAGCATTTACAAAGATGGGGAGGTGTCTTCTGCCTCCCCACCAGACTTACACTGGGTCACCACTCTCCCTGCAGGGTACTGCTATGCCAGGCACTGTTGCTTTTCCCAGGGCACACAAGCCAGGGCTGGAAGAGGGAACACAGCTGGGACAGGGGAGCAGGACCATGGTACAGGGGCAGCAGGATCAGAAGTATGCCCTTGTATCAGAGCTGGAGGATGGAGCCACATTTCCCCAGCTGCAGCGATGCAGACTGACTGCAGACCAACACCAGAACCAAATGCTGCTGCATGCTGGGTTAAAAATAGCCTCTCCTCTCCCCCCACTCCCTTTTCTGACGGGTTATTTTTAACCCAGAACATTTATGGGTTTGGTTTGCCGCAGAGCCCCCACCCCATTGCACCCACCAGGATGAGAGCATTCAAAAAAAAACCAAGCAGCTCCACCACTGAGCTCCTCTCCCCACTGCATGCTCCAACCCTGCCTAATGCATGGAGGCAGAGGACTTGGGCAGGATTTGGCAGCATGTAGAGCTCAGCATTGAGGGACACAATGGGGTATTTCTTTGGCTACACAGAAATGCCTCTTGGGGAAGGTCCAAGCTCAGATGCCCCAGGGCAGCCCTGCCACACATGGTTACAGAGCTGAGGTTAGCAGCAACTCCAATTTGGAGGACAGGGAAAAGGCACAGTGGAGCTGGGTCCTTCACCTCCAATGCTCAGCCTGGGAGGGGAGCCCTGGGGGCAGCACATGCCCCTGGACAGACAGACAGACACCAAGCACCCCCAGACCTGCTCCAGCAGCATTTGCACCCGCCACCCCAGGGCTGACCGACGCTGGCCTACAGAGCATGGAAAGAAGCACAGGGCAGCAATTTGGGTCAGTCTACCTTTAATTAGAGGTATGGTCGTTACAGCACCAGGTCCAGGACATGGCAAAGCACAGGGGCAGATGGCCCTGAGGTCCAAACACACCCTGCACTGGGAGCTCCCTGCTCTCCAGAAGCCTGGAGCAGCTCTGGGACAGAGAGGACAGCCCTGCAGCACTCAGCCCTGGGCTCCAGAGCCCATGTCCTGAGGACAAGCTTCCTTTCAGTAAGCACAAACTCCAGGGGAGCAGCATGCATGCACCCCAAGGCCTCTGCACCACCACAGGAAAGCCAGGCCCAGACAGACACAAGCACATTTAGTATCACAACCTGCCAGATGACTAGCATAAAAAAGGGATCTAGCTAAATAAATATGGAGTCCTGTGCTGGCCCCTGGGCTCTATCCTGCTGCCTACAGCCTCCCCAGCTTTCTTCTAAAATAGGAGAGCCAGGGAGGTTCCCTTCCTATAGGAGGTGGGATGAGAGTGTACAGTCAAGGATGTGAGACCCAAGGCAGAGGAGGTCTGGCCCTGGAATACATTCTGTACCCCAGTAATGACTAACAGCAGCAGACCCTGTGAAGGCCTGAAGCCATCAGAGGCCACCCCCACACCCCCTCAGGGTCAGCATGGTGACCCTATGGTACCAGGGTTACACACTTCCCACCCCTTGCCTAGGGACAGCCACACTGCAGTCAGCCCCACAGACCTGTGAGCAACCCAGCCCCTACTCCTGCAACAACCTCCCTCCAGCCATCCCATCTGCTCAGAGTACCTCCAGCCTAGCCCTTTGCTTCCTCACATCCATCTTGGCACCTTCTTTTTCTCCCAACCATTCTGCTCCCATCCAGGCCATTCCCCATTTCAGCCACCTCTAACAGTCTGGGGTCTGTCCCTTGCAAAAAAAACTCTCCTTTCCTCCTGCCCCTCCTCTGCTCTCAAGGAACAGCAAACAACTTCACCCCCACTTCTCTCACCAGCCACACCTGAGAGCCCTGCAGCACTGGGGGGTTGATTCAGCCCTTAATGCCAGATGAGGAACCTGGCTACAGCACCCAGTCAGGAAGGTGCAGCCAGACAAGCTTGTGCTGGCCAGTTCCTGCACATAATCCTTGGCTGTTGCCCCCACCTCATCTTGGATGCACAGCAGCTCTATGGGCTGCCCTGCAGAGAGACCCACACACTGCTCCTGGGTACAGAGCCCAGCAGGGAGGAGGGCAGCAGGATGGGGACTGCAGGAAGAGCCCATCTCACGGGGAGCCAGCACAGGTTTGCTACGAGGCACTAACATCAGCTAAGCCTACAGGGAGGAAAGCACATGGGCACATGACAGCCCTGCCTAGGCCAGGCCTCACTGTCCCACAACAGCCCTCCATCTTCGAGCCTCTGTAGACACGGAGGCAACAAGCAAGGAGGGCTGAGCATGAATAGTGACAATGGAGCGAAGCCTGGAGTGACGCCAACGCCCCGCAGGGCTGTGCAAGGGCAGGCCAGGGCTGGGGACACGCGAGGGGACACTGGTGGGCCGTCACCCTGGCCTGGGGGAGCTGGCAGCTCCTCGCAGCTTCTTCCTGCTCTTGCTGGCCCCGGGGTGGAGCTGGGCCAGGGGCTCCTCGGCAGGCGTCGCGGTGCCCTCGCGCGCCAGGAGCTCTCGCCGAGGAAGGAGGGATGGTGTGGAGGAAAAGTCGGAGGATACAACACAAACATCCAGGTGACTGCGGTGGAGGGGAAAGAGGGAGTCTCGGCAGGCATTTAAGCCTAGTGCACAGAGAGGAGAGAGACACAATTCACAAGGCTGTGAGGTTGTAGGTCACCTATAGGGAGCAGGTGGGACAAGGCCCAGGCTGCATGCAGAGACCACAGGCCACATGTGGGCAGGGGGAGAGTCTTGTGAGGCTGGAACTGCAGCCTCACTGCTTTGCTAGTGGCTTACTGGGCTGGCAGGAACAGCTGAGCTCAGGGAGGAACAGCCTGGGCCTCCTGCTCCTGGGCCTCTGCAGCACGGGGCTGGTGCCATCCCCCTGCTCTCACATCCCAGGTACCCAGGCAGCAGCAGCTGATCCAGGCCCTGGGGTGCTTCCAGAGCTGCCTAGGGGCACAGGGCACCCTGGGGGCTCCCACAGCCCTGCCTGCAGCACAGGCTGCTTTAAGGCAGCACTTCTGAGGGCTCTGGACCAACCCAGAAAACAACAGGCTGTGACAGACAGGAGCAGCAGGAGCTGCCTCAGACTCCTTTTGCAGGAGCTTCAGTATGGTGCAGGGCTGGTGGCTCACAAGAGAAGGCTGGCTATGTGTGCAGCAGGCTGCAAAAGGAATCATGTGGCAGCAGCTGTGTCCCCCAGGGTGCTGGGCTAGCCCTCCAATCCTCTATTTACAGCTGTCTGGGTCAGGGAAGCTCTGCTAAGACCCCCAGGGAAGGGTCATATGAGCAGGGACTATTCCCTGGGACTGGCTGTGGCAGAGGGTGGCACTGCCTCTTGCCTTAGGATGACAGGAAGGTCTCCCACACCATCACCAGTGCAAAGAGGTCACCCAGCACCAAGCACAGCCAGGAGGAGCTGCAGAAAGACACCAGCCAGCATAGGGACCAGGTGATTCTAATCCAAACCTGCAGCCCTCCCTCTGTGCTTGTCTAGCCCCCTTACTAATGAGTGCAGGGGCCTGGAGTTGGAGCCTTGCCAGAGCTAAGACCCTCTTTGGTCCTGATGCCAAGACCTGGGGCAAAGGACAGCCTTGCATCTGGTAAAGCTGCTGGGTCCATTTGAAGGTCTGTTTTCCAGATCCCCTTCAGCCACCTCCTGTGTACAATCCACAATCAAGAGAGCCAGCAGGCTTCAGGCTTTGGGTGCTGAAGGGCTGTCATGGCAACAGGGAAGAAGAAAGAAGAGGAAGGGAGGGAGCTCATGCAGGTGGGGATAGAGCAGAGCCAGGTGGGGAAGGGTTAGTGACAGCAGATGTGAGGGGGCAGCAAAGGACTCTGTGTGCTCAGTGCCTTCCCTATGCCAGGCTGCAACAACCCCAGCTGCTCTGTGCTCCCAGAGTTTGCAGAAGGAATGTAAGCACTAACAGCTCTAGCAGCCCTTGAACCAAGCACCCACCAGCACCATGCTCACTTGCTGCCTCTTCTCCACCCTCCTGCTTGCAGGAGACAAAAGGCATCTGTCCCAGCCCTGGATCACTACCTTTCTCCAAACTCAGTGCTAGTGACCAAAGTCACCTTCAGCCTCAGAGCAAGCCTAGAGAGGTTCAGGTTCACCTGTCTGTGCCTCAGCTAACACCAGTCTCTTGCCTCCACTGGTCAGCCCAGCTTGCCATCCTGCAAAGACCTGCCTTTTATCCCCTCTGCTTGGCCAGAACCTGCCTAGGGCACGAGACCAGGAGAGGGGGACAGCAAAGATGCTGGCTACAGACTACTCCCGTGCCCTGCAGTCAGTCAGTCAGTCAGTCAGTCAGTCACAGACACACCAGGCACATCGCACACACACAACCCTGCCCAGGCTCAGCATTGTCAGTGGCACAGTGCAGGACAGACAGCCACATGGCTCTCACAGGCTGGGTGAGCCCGAGATGGGGCTGATGCTCTCAGCCAGGGCCTCCAGAGGGGAGCAGCAGGGAGAGATGTTAATAAGGTTACAAGCCTAAGATTAAGGGCAGACCAGGGCCAGTTCATGCTGTGCACTGCAGGGCCTGGCAGCTCCCCGGAAGCAGGAGCCCTCAGCTGGCAATACCTGCTCTGTACACCAGAAGCCAGACCCAGACACGCACCTCTGCGGGCCGGCTGGCTCATGCCAAGAGAAGGGAAGGAAATGTGCAGGGAATGAATGGAGGCAGACAAGGATGCCACGACAGGCCACGCGGGGACAGCCCTCAGCCAGGCTGTCCCTGCCCTCTGGCAGCCGGCTGAGGCCATTCTTGATGGTGTCTTGTACTTACCCCGCTCCATTCCACGCCCATACTCACTTCCTCGCTACCGTCTGTGGCATTCTCGTACTTGACACTGCCCCCCAGGCTCCGATGTCTCTCTGTGCCATCCCCCTCCTTCAGGATCTCCACCACCTTCGTCTGGTTGATTGGGTCAATGCCCTGCAAGCAGGAAAGGTTAAGGAAGAACGGTGTTTTGTCTTTACATGTTCCTTCCCTCTGGAGATCCACTGTGCTTGGTTCCTGTTCCCTCTCTTGGCTACTGCATCATCCCAGCCAAAACTGCCCAGCACAACCAGGATGGAGCCAAATGCCATCCTGCACTTAGCAGTTTCTGTTTGAACTCCCAGCTCAGTGAGTCCTCACAAGGCCATAACCAACCCTGTGGAACAAGGGCTTGCTACCCCAAAGGTGACAGCTTCTTTCCTTCTCATTTTGAAGTGTGAAGGATTCAGCTGTCCTTCAGTCTTTTGTGCTAGGTGCTTACAGCTCCTGATTTATTATTTGAGGACTGAGAGGACTTTAAGGCAAGAGGTACTCTAAGAAATTCTAGGTATCTTTTGCTTCTGGACAAAAAAAATTAGTATGAAGAGAACATCCTAGTAAGTGCAGCTCTCCCCAGTAGCTGACAAAGCCCAGGAACCTGCCTTAACCCTACTGCAGTATTTCTGCACTCACTGAGCCATGCCTTCCCCCACATGGACATCTGCTCCATCCACACACACACGCACCACCCCACACACCCACACACATGAGGATCTCTGCACAAACGCATCCCCAACCACCGAGGCCCTCTGGTGTCACAGAAACGCAAACCAAGAACATCAGAAGGGCCCAGGACAGTCCCTCACCACACCCCACCAAAGGCAGTGCCACAAGGTGCCACCCCAGCCCTGCGCTGCCCCCAGAGCAGGGCAGGTCCCTTGGGGTTACCTGTCGCCGGGAGCGAACCGCGCACTCCTCCAAGGTCTCGGCTGCCTCCAGCTTGCCCTGGCGCCGGTACAGCGCACCCAGGTTCCTCAGAGTGGTGTTCACAGTTGGGCTGTGGTAACACAGGGAGGTGAGCAGGAGCCCTGGGGTCACCCCCCAGAGTCCACAGCTGCCCACAAAGCAGCTCTTACCTGCTAACCTTACAGGCCTTGTACCAGCCGCCATACTCGGCATAGGGAGCGCTGTCTCTGTGCTTGCTCTGCAGGGTGAGGAGAGAAGAGAGCTGTCAGTCCCACACCTACTGCTCTCCTCTGGCCTGTGCTCTGCCACTAAATCACTAAATGCCAGGCCCAGAGCCCAGGCTGCACCCCTGCACCTGCCCAGCTTTTGGAAACACAATACACAAATGAAGTGTCTGAACCTAACAGGTAAGGTGCCAAATCCTCTGGGGCAGATAAAGCCTTGGAGGCCAGGGCTGCCAGCTGTGCCCAAGGCCCCAATGATGGCATGAACTGGCCCCCATCTGCTGCCAGGGAAGAGAGGCAAGGGACAAAAGTAGCCAAGCTCTGTCAGAGGATTTTCATACATTTTAACAGAAGATATGGAAACAGCACAAGGCACAGCACATCAGCCCCAGCTCCTGGGCCAGGAGTACAAGCAGGTCTGTGACTACTGCTGCTGCCTGGACAGGAACGCCAACCCTGCTCTGCCATGGGGCACAGACACAGCTGCCTTGGGGAGAGGAGCCCCAGAGCCAGGGAAAGAGGTTTAGCCCTTGCCTAAGACTCACATGTGAAACAAATCTCTTACTCCAGCTGTGACTCCCCCAGCCTGCTCTCTTGCCCCATGGCAGAGCTTGCATTATCAGGAGCACAGCTTCATACTACAGCTATCTACATCTGACCCCTAAACTCTCCAAAGATACCACCAGAAGAGTCTCAGTCCCAGAGGGGGCAATGGGAACCTGGTCTCTACTCCAGCTTGGATTTCTCCAGGATGGTGCTGCAGCAAGTGCAGATTCTTTGCAGCGGAGCCTTCACAATACAGCAAGCACAGCAGTGCAAAGCTGAGCAGTGCCCTGCAGTGCCCATGCAGGGTGGTTCAATGGGAAGGCACAGGATGCTGTGGGAAGCACCTGCCAGTGCCAGTGCCCTGCTTCTAGGGCTGACAGCATGGGACTCATCAGGCACTAAGTCAAGCCTGCCAGACTGCTGCTTGAACCCTGGAGGGCTGGAGCCTGCTCTGAGGGCAAAAAAAGGGAGAGTCCCACTGCAGGTAGAGGACTAGATCAGAACCCTTCCTTCTGCTGCTTCACCTGCCTGCCAAAACACAGATGGGGCCTTATACTTGGCAAAAGCAAAGACACAACTGCTGCATTTACTGACCACAGAGCAGGGCCTGGGCTGCAGGAGCAACAGAAGCTTTGCCTTTCAGCCTAGCCCAAGGCAAGCACAGTCCATTTCTATCCCCTTTCAGAGGCCAGCTAGGGCCTGCCCTGTGCAGAGACCCTTTTCAGATATGGCTCCATTTCCTAAGCAACGTGACAGCAACAGTTTCTTCCTGACCTCCATTTTTTCCCTAGGCTGCCTCAGAGCTGCTTTAGAAGCCAGTTATGCTCTGGGTACTGGCAGCTCTGTGGAACAGAGTGCCAAGGCCTTGCAGCACAGCCCTCTGCCATCTGCCATCATCTGCATGCCCAAGAGGGATCAATCACTAAAGCAGAGAGAGCATGCAGCCATGGCTGAGAGACTGAACAGCCCTGCCCAAGGAAAAACACCCTGCTCTCTGAGGGACCTTCCCTCTCTGTGGCCCAGGGTGCAGCAGTGCTGTACCCCCCTCTCCAGATGCCTCTTGGCTTTGGTAGCTCTTCAGACTGCAGCTTCTCCAGGAAGGAGGAGTTAAGGGATAGGCTGTGGTAAGAGAAGATCAAACCCCCTGGGATCAGACTCACCTTGCTCATCTCCTCTCTCTCCTCTGCATGCATCCAGATTGGCTTGTGCTCATCTGTGTGGGGAAGAACACAAAACAGGTCCATTCACCACCCCACGCTGTTGTTTGCCTCCTGTACAGCCCAGCACTCTGTCCCCAGAGCTAGCACCTCATCAGGGAGAAGTGACACTCCAGATCCTCCCCCCAGTCCCTGGCCCAGAGTCCCAAGAGGACTCTCCTTGAACTCCTTCCCTTGAACTTCTCCCTTGGCCCAGAGTCCCAAGAAGGGCAACCAACACTGCAAAGGCAGGACAAGGGAAGGAAAGAACAAGGGAAGGAAAAAACAAGTCCTCCCAGCACAAGTACATGTGCCAGGTGCACAGGAGAAACTTCAACCTATGCTTGAGCATGATTGTGCCATTTACTATACCCAGTCCTGTAAAAAGACTGGGTTGAGACTCCTGAGAGAAGAGGGGGAACAGCATAACACACTAGAACAGCAGCACCTCAAGGGATGCCCAAAGCAGGGGCCCTGCAATGCACCCCATCCCTCAGTGTGGGCAACAGCAGAACCAGACAAGTCTAGGCTGAGAGCCAGGACACCCCTGCCCTGCCCCAAGAGCTTCTGCTGTACAAACCATCCACAGAGCCAAACTCCTTCACGTGAGCACGGGTCAGGATCTCCTTATACAGCACCTCTGCATCTTTGTATTTGCCTTGCTTCAGGTAACAGGAAGCCTGCAACCAAAACAAAACAGCTCCAGCCCCTCTGGGAAACAGATTAACTCTGCCCACCTCTTGCAGCTATTGCTCTGTCTCTGAGCACCCCTCCCCAGGCCTCTCCCCAGTGCCTCACCAGGTTGTTCTTGGTCTTGGCCACATTGGGGTCGTCAGGACCCAGGCAGCTTTCATAGATCTCCAGGGCCCTGCAGTAATAGTACTCCACCTCATCGTACTTGCCCTGGTTCTGGCACAGCAGGGCTAGGTTGTTCAGCTGCTTGGCCACATCAGGATGGTCCTTACCTAGAACCTGGGTGAACAAAAGAAGAGAAGACACAAAGACTGGAGTGGATTCCTGGAGTTTGTAGATGCTGGAGTGCCCCCAGCACATGCCTACGTCAGACAAAAGCCAAAGTCTGGAGAGGAGGAGAAATTCCAGCTTCTACCTCCTGACAGGCCTCCCTAGGGCTGCAAACACTGGAGAGACAGGAAAGGTGGTGGCAGAATGAGCAGCTGAACAGCCTAGATAGGCCCTGGATCTCCCACATGCCTTGAGGCAATGGGAGAAAGAGCAGGAAGACTCGTACCTTCTCACGGATCTCCAGGGCTCGCTTGCACAGTGGCTCTGCCTCTTTGTACTTCCCTCTCTTGCCATACAGAACAGCCAAATTGTTCAAAGTCGCTGCCACCTGCAGAGACAGAAGCTTCTCCATGAAACAAAGCAAATTCCAGCCAGACCAAACAAGGGGCACAAGCAACAGTAACAGTGACTGTCACATTTCCCCATGCCTGCAGTATGGCTGATTCTCAAGAGAAGGAGGTCTAGGGACAGAGGGTTGCCCTGCCTATATCACAGGATCCAAGAGAAGCCAAGTCCTTACAGGCTGTACTGAACCAGCCAGCAGGAAATACTGAAGCAGTAAAACACTGCTGGAACAGTGCCCCAGCAGCACCCAAAGGTGAACAAGTGACTGGAAGAGGAGAGAGGCACTCACCGCTGGGTGGTCTTTGCCTAGAGTCTTCTCACGGATGGAAAGAGCATCATTCAAGAGGTGTGCTGCTTCTTTGTATTTGTTCTGATCCCTGCAGTGCAAAGCCAAGCAGTTATCTTGGATTTGGACATTACAGCTATCAACTGTGTGCTCCTTCCACACAGACCCAGCCTTCAGAGTCCTTTCTTTCCCCACTGCTCCCTGCTTTAGTCAGTCCCTAGTTATATCTGTGAGTTTGGCAAACCAAATACCATCTAGGCCAAAACCTTTCTGAAAGCCAAACCCCTGGAAGCTTGGGGAGCCCCAGGATGTGCTGTAAAGGGAAACAGGAGATGCAGAAAGCTGTCCTGGACCAATCCTGGCTTTCCCACCATGCTCACCTGTACACTAGTGCTAGAATGTTGAGCATGGTAGCCACATCAGGGTGATCATGGCCTGATGTCTTCTCCAGGTCCTCCAGTGCCTGCTTGCAGAGAGGCACAGCCACCTCATAGCGTCCCTGGGAGGCGTACTGGATGACAAGGTTGTGCAGGGTGCGCAGGCGTGCAGGAATCTCATACCCTCCCTGCTGGGCAGCTGCCACAGCACTGCTGTGCTGGTGGGGCACTGTGGGCACAGAAATAGACACGGCACCGTTGGCCCAGCAGGCTCAAACAGAGACAGGCAGCACCCATGCATGAGCAAACACTTACATCCAGGACCATGCTCCTCCTCCTCATTGGGGAATAGGTCATCCAGAGAGTCCTTGGTGGAGTCACCCTCCTTCTCCTCCTGACAGGATGAGAATCAGAAATACTGTTGGTTCTCAGCAGAGACAGCAGCAGCTAGGGCTGAGTGAACTGCCAAACTCTCGCCATTCTGCAGCCCACCAACACACTCAATTTCTCCTGCTGTCTCTGCCACCAACACCCCCCACAAAACAACATCCAGAGACTCTGCCCCATGCAGGCCCCCTTTAGCTACAGGCATTGCTGTGCATGGGAAGGAGTTATCATGTGATAACATGTAGGCAGTTCTGGACCCACAAAAGCAGCAGCTCAAAAGGACTGGGGCTTACCGAAGGTGAGACATCCTCATCATACTTCTTCAGCTGGTTCATGAACTCCAGGTGTTTCTTCTCCTCCTCCAGCTGAGCCACGGTCTGCTCACTGCGCTGCAGCTTCTGCTGGGTGTTGGCAAGCTCATCACGCAGCCACTGGTTCTCCTGGCACAGCCTCCGCACCTGAGCACGCAGCTTCTGCTTCTCCGACTCCACGGCGTTCAGATGGTTGGACAATGCCATCATCACCTTGGGAAGGGTCTCAGTCAGTGACAACCACAGGCTTGTCTCTCCCTCACACCCATGCTAGCCTTCTACACTTAGCCCTTCCCACCCTGTAGCTTATGGGAAATGGCCACATGCCTATCCCAGATAACACCGCAGGGATCACCCCCCACTCTCACCTGAGCTTCTCCAAGCCCCAGCTCTATCATCTCCACGGACTTGCGGAGCAGGTTGGATTTCTCATGCACGAGATTGGCTTCTTCATCCTTCTTCAGGCACTTGATGGTCTCCAGCAAGCTGTGCAGGATGGAGTTGTGTTCATTCTTGAGTGCTTCCAGCCCTTGCATTACCAGCTTGGTGTTGGAAATTATCTCCTCTTGGCTCAGCTTGTCCAGTTTCTCCTCCCTTGGGTACACCATGGTGGACATAGTCCTACTCCTGCAGCCCTGCACAGAGAGCAAGACAAAACCTGAGTGCCCCGGCGCTGCTTCAGACACAAGCACCACAACCTCCTCCAAGCAGAGACAGCATTTAACAGATTGCCTACTCTAAACCCTTCTCCTTCATCCTCCCCTCTCCCTCTGGCAGCCTGCAGCTGTCAGGCTTCTGCTTTTGTGGCTGGGAGTGCTGGCAACCAGCGCAGGTGGCCTGCGAGGACAGGAGACAAAAAGGCGACAACCAGCGGTGACCTCCAGCACCCCCACGCTCCCAGCAGGGGGAGGACTAATTTAGCAACCATTTAAGAGCAGAGATTTGTGGTTGGCAGCTGGGGTTGCAATCTATACACCTTCTGCCCACAGGCCACTGATGCAGAGAGGCTGTCAGAGCTCAGCACCTCTTCTGACTGCAGAAGAAAGGGAACATAAAGTGGAGGGATGCCAGCTCAAAGCTTGCTGCCTCCTCAAAGGAAAATCTCCTAGAGGAGCATCTCAGACAGGAGGGCATCAGTGGTATTGCTGTGCCAAAATATGAGCAGAAGAGTACATCCTGAGGATTGCAGCCTCAGCACAGAACTGCCACTGTGGCACTGAGGGACATGCCACCAGCGGGGCACACCACACCACTGCCTGACTGCAGAAGCTCACACTAACAGCTACAGTCACACTAACAATCCTTGTGCAGGTGTTGACTTGAAACACCAACAGCTTTTCCATCTTGATTCACCCTGCTGCCACCCCAAGTGCTCCTCAGGATGGCCTAAGAACTCTGTACTCCTTCCCTGTCCTGTTCCCCCCAGACACACAATGGGGAAGTGCCCAGCTACTGCCTTTGCACAGCACTACAACCTACAATGTCAGTGTGGCTGCAAGACCCCTGCACACAAAGCCCAGGAGACAGGGAAACACAACAGGCAGAGGCTGAGAGGCACAGCAGGCAGGCTGGACCCTGGCTGCTCCAGGACTCCTTATTTAGCACAGTCCCAGCCTCTCCCAGCAGCTGGGCCACCCCAGCAGCCTCCTCACATTACTCCACAGTGAAGCCACCTCCCACCTTGCTATCAGGTCACTCCAAAACCAGCCTCTGCAACGCCCTGCACAGGCAGCACCTGCCCAGCAGCACCTCCTTGCTCCCTGGAGCTGGCAGAGGCCTCTGCAACCTGAGTGCCCAGGGCCCTGCTGCCAGGAGGCTGGCAAACTGCCCAGCAGCTACAGGAGGAGGTGAGGAATTGCTGCCAGCAGATCTGCCTTTGACCTCCTGCTGGACCCACCTCTGCACGGTGTGAGCTCTTTGTTCAGCAGCTGCCTTGTGCCTGCTTTACTGACAGAACAGAAATCCTGTCCCAGGCACAGGAACAGAGCAAGCAGAGCTCCCCTTTCTGGCAGGCTCCTCTTCTCTCACCTGTGCACTCTGTCCAAGTGCCAGGGAGATACTGGGGAATGGGCCCTGAGCAATAGAGAGGCCCAGCTTGCTCCTCACTGCAGCACTTAAAGTGAAGGTGACAAACAGCACTGGGACAGTTGTTTTAAGTACACACATCTCATTATCAAACCCACTCATCTCCTCCTCTTTAGCCTCACTCTTCCTCCAGTTTTTTTATAGGCCTGAACCCTCCTTTCAATTCTTCTTTGCTTTCTGTTCCCATGATGTACATCCATCCCTCAGGAAGGTGGGGGCAAACCCTCAACACACAGAGGAGACCTCACTGAACCCCTCAGCAGGGCAGAAACACCTCGTGTCTCTTGAAGGCTGGGCTTCTGTTCACACCTCTGAACAAGAACTGAGTCATCCTCCCCCAAAGTCACAATGCTGACTTCATATTCACTTCATGATCTAGCATCAGCACCAATTCTGAGTCATACATCACGGTATCTTTCACTTTTGGGTATCTGTCATGCTCCACATGCAGTTAACCCTGCACATTTTATACCAAAACAGTCTCTCTGGACCATGACTTATGCCAGTTTCCTTTGCAGAAGATTATATGACAAGAATAGCATGAAAAACCTCATTAAGGTCAAGATAGAGGACACAGACTGCTGTTTCAAAAGGAAAAATGGGCTCGCTGAGAGTTGGTTGCCACTCATACCCCATCTTCCAAACTCATTCTCAGAAACTGGCAGCTAACCATTCCAGACAACAATTTCCCTGGTTATTCTTTTCTGTTTTTCTGGGATCAAGTGCTAAAGCAATAAGGAAAGCCTTGCTTAATGCAGACTTCTACAGCTGAGCACAACTCAGGAAGAAACGTGCAACAACTCCCAGCCCTAGAGAAAAGAGGCTGGCAGCCCAAAGGGTGCTGGTACTGCCAAGGTAATAACTGCTAAAGGGTTAAATGGCCCCATCACTGGTTCCTGCTTGGAAGGAAACACACCCTGACTCACTTGCAAACAGGGAAACAGTTCTCTGGACCATAGGCAATGCTTGGGACACAAGAAGATAGCCAGGAACAGCCTCATACCCAAAAAACTACAACTCTGCTCTAAACCTCTCACAGCTGAGCAGCACAAGTCCCTGTGGGTACAGGCCCAGCTGTATGAAATGAAATGCTGACAGTTTTCACTTTTGTCCATACAGAGATCTTGCTGGCATCTTTAACAAGTACAATACAAACACATTGGGAAGAGGAACATATCACAGGATAAAAAGCCACCAGACCTCACACCTTGCTAGGTAACAGAGTCAGGAGACAAGACCCAGATCCATAGAAATCAGCCTCATTAATTCCACTGTACACAGAACTACTCCTCAACTGTGAAACTGCTGTTTGTTAAACGATCAGCATCTCTACTACAGCAACATTCTTTCTTCAGCCCTTCTAGCAGAAACGTTCACGCCTTTCACAGTCATCACAATCAACTTGTTTGTTTGAAACTGCACAGATTTCAGTCTGAGAAGGAAAAATAAACCAAAACATCCTGATCCACAGCATGTAAGACTCATCCTACCCTGCAACTACATCCTCAGATCCTTCAAGGCATCCCAATAGAGGCTTTTCTTCTCTCACAGGCTGTGCTCTGTAACAACCTCAGCCTTTCTCCCCCAGGGTGACATCCTGGAAGCACAGCTCTGCTAGGTACCAACGTGTTTCCATGCTCAGCAGTGGACAGAGGATTGTCCAGGCTGAACACAGGCTGCAAAACCTAAGAACAACACACAGCTGCTCAACAAAAAAACAAAGAGGAGACTGCTGAGAAGTCTTTGAATGCTGCTACCTCTTGTACAGCAAAGAAAAGCAACCAACATCAGCAGGAGCTGACTTAACTTTCCAAAGCAGGAATTTCCCCACAAAGAGCTTATTTCTAGTGCTGGCAGGTCTAGTCTCATTGCTCAGCCCTCCAAAGAGGAAACACTTGCTATGGCAGCCAGTGCCAAGGTCAGGCAGGGTGAGGCTGCTGTATATGCACTCTTCCATTCAGTAAGGGGCCCTGAGTGCCCTTTACCCAGGCAGAAAACACTCAGAGCTTTTCTGCAGGGAGGAGGGGACACATCATAGTTTGCCTTTTGCAGGGTGGGGCTCAGACTGGAACAGGAAGAATGCTTTTCCACCGAGCTCCTTGAGAGATGGAGAGCCCTGTTCCCAGTTTATCCTGCTGCGGTCCTCGTGGACCTGCAGGTGTCCCAGCCCAGGTCTCCACCCGCCCCTTTCCGCTCTAGTTGGCACATCCTCCCTATTTACAGCGAGCTGCAGGAACAGCCTGCCTTCCCGACAGCACCCAGCTCATCTCCCCTCTTCTGCTCCCTTTGGAGGGCAGGGCAGGAACGTGCCTGCACTGAGCTCTGTGGCAGCTGCAGCAATCAGCCAGGGATCCATCAGCAAGGACATCCTGCCAGGCTAAAACCTTCCTCCTGCATTCAAGCGCACCACCGCGAAATCGCTAAGCATCAGCAATTTCAGCAGCTCGCTTTTCTGCCTCTCCAAACTGCTCCCACGTGTGAGACCTTTCAGAGGAAAGAGCTGGAAGCTTCACTGCTCCTGTCTTCAACCCACAACATCGACAAGGATGCCAGATTAAATGGGTCCAAGTCAATCTTAAGCTTAGGTTATGATGCCTAATGCTGGAAAAGACTATGGGAGTGGGGGAGGAGAAGCACCAGGGAAATCAGGAGTCAGCTACAACAGGACAGAGATCTCAGGTCTACAAACAACTCAGTTGATGCAGTTCACTGCCTCCCTGCATGCACAAGGCAATAACTGCAGCATGCTTCAAACTGCAGATGGCCTGCCAGCACTTTCTGTAAAAAAGTGAAACAGATTTTCAGCAAAATGTTCCGCAGCAAATTCTTCCGTAGGAGAAGGTGATCCAAGGATATTTAAGTGATGTAAGGTATTTGCAGAGTGACAGCTGGGTTCTGGAAAAAAGCTTCCTGTGGAAAAGAGTAAATCTGAGCCACAGCAAGAACAAGTGACCACATTTGGGACATAGATAGCAATGGTTTCAATTTAGAAATGCTTTGTCTTGCTTCATCATAATTGTCCCAGTCTCCTCCTGTGAGCCATGAGAAACCTGGAGAAACAGCAAGGTTATACATTTGGGAAGCAAAACGACTTGATAAAAGCAGGAAGGGTTTTTTGGTTTGTTTGTCTTTCCTTGGACCTCTGCCAGCTTTGAGCAACAAAGGGTCTCTGGAATGACTGGGTGACCTCCAATGAAGCTAGAAGTGAGACTGCAAATAAGAGAGCGAGGCTCCACCCTAAGAGACCCTGCAACAAAACCTAGACCTAATACTTTGGATGCTGAAAAATAAAAGCAGTAAAAAGCAAACAGAGTGACAAAATTGCAGCCATCAGAGAGTCTGTGTGATGAGCACAAATTTTCTTATTTGGATACCAGTGTCAGAAGGCAAACAGATTGCAGGAGATTACACTCAGCTGTGCAGGGCCTCTGTGGCTTCCACTGCACAGCCAGGACACAGTGACACTGCCAGGAACACTGCACACTGCCACACCACTGCCAGAAGAGCCACTGTGCTCAGGGTCATCACCCCAGGCCACCTGGAGCAGAAC